TTTAGAAGCTGTGGTCTTCCAAGATTTTTAAACTTACACATGTTTGGATACCATTTATTAAACAAAGCAAGTGTCTCTTCATGAATCAGTCATATTTATGACTAAAAGAATTTTGGAACCAACTTTGAGAAATTAAATTATATGAATAGTTTATAAATAAACTGAGGCAAGCAGTTTAAAAATTGGGTCAGGTTAATTTGAGGCATTTGAGGTTGCAGTACATTAAGCTTTATGAACATTTATTTGTATTTGATAAATTATGAGTGTGTTGTATGGTGAAATGTATTAATTCAAGTGATAGTTAACAGGCAAGAGTATCCAGTTTTAAGAGGCATTCTGTTTATAATAGAAAAGGGACCAGTCATGATGATACCTCTACTTCTCATCAAAACCACATTCAACCCTGATTTAGCATGTCCATCCTTGACATTAACTAACCTATTCCTGTAATATTAAAGGTGAGGAAGACTGTATATAAGGTTGGATATCATTTGTATGAGGTTCAAATTGGCAACAACCAAGGAAATATGAGTTCAATTGTTTTTTATTTGTAATAAAATAGTAAAAAAAAGTAAAAAAGTACTTTTGTATATTTAACATGTAAAATACTCCATAGGGCACAGCCATTGAGATGCTGCTAATAGGCTCGGCTAGTCAAGGTACTGTATTCTCTTTATGAAAATTATTTAGTTTGCTGTAGCTCATAGCCAGTCCCTACCCTGCACCAGATCAGTCCAATCCACGTTTTACTTCCCTAAAATATTTTTTAATATTGGCCTATACAAAGCAACAGTTAAGATTGTAGTGTTTCATATTTTAATCTTTGTGTCTAGATGGAAAAATGAGTCCATGGGGTAGGACTGTCTGAAAAATACACGAGCACTTACGGCATATCACCATCTTACGTTTGTATTATACAGCCAGGTTCACCAACTTCCAGTTTGGTGCACCACTTTTGTTACCCGAGCGTCACTCGTGTGTGAAGGCATACAATCCATGAAATTAGTAGAGTGAAGATCGTTTTTAAGAATTATTTCACGATTCATTTACAATGTACTGTTCTGAAAAAATAAGAAGTAATCGACT